AGAAGAAGAAGAAGAAGAAGAAGAAGAAGAAGAAGAAGAAGAAGAGAGACCTGCTTGCCTCTTCAAAAGAACAGAGGGAAGAAAGAAAGCGGGGATGGGTGGAGCTTGTTGTTAAGTATTTTGGCCGACAACCCTCTCTGCCAATGAAATAATCCCAATCAGACCAAATTAGAAGATACCCAGGTTTAATGGGTGCCAGTACTCCTGGGTGCCCCCCACCCAGAAAACATGGAAAGGTGAACCGAGAACAGAAAGACCACAGAAAAAACGAAAGATCGTGTGTTCATTCCCTGGGGAGCAGTTTAAATAGCCTGTGGGAGTGGTCTTGACCCTCCCTGGGGAGGGATCACTGTTTGGCTGCTTTCTTGGAAGTGGAGTCTGGACTGTGGCCACTCCCAGGGGACTTGGAATGGAGTTTTCCACCCAGCATTCAAAAAACGGGTGCCAGGGGCTGTGGTGAAGGCCTCCAATTAAACACTTGTCTCTCTTTTTTTGAGGGGGTTGGTCAGGTTTCGAGACAGGATTTCTCAGTAGCTATGGAACCAATCCTGGAACTCACAGAGATCCCCCTGCCTCTGCCTCCAGAATGCTGAGATTAAAGGCGTCTGTCACCACCGCATGGCCTGGAGTTTATCTCTTAAAGGGACCTTTTGCACCTGCATACAGACTTCTTAGGGACATAGCAGCCATATAGGACCCTGAACTGGCCAGGGTACTGCCTGAGTTCATCCTGCGAGGTGACAGGGCAGGCCAGCATAATGCCTGAGTCCTAACAGGCAGATCTAGAGTTCCAGCCTGGTCTAGAGTCCCAAGACAACCAAGGCTACAGAGAAACCTTATCTCAAAATAAATTTTTAAAAAAAGTAAATAAATAAATACTTCTGATCTGAGAGAAGTTGTAAAGAGAAAAGAGACTTTTGTCAAGAGAATTCTTCATGAGTTCAGCTAACTCCTGCCCACCTCCTTAATCTCCCTATCCTGCATTTCCTCCTTCCTGGTATTCTACTGGAGATGTCCTTACCTATTTCCCTGACTGAACTCAGGTACATCTGGGGCCCGTGCCAGGTGTTCAGAACCCATTTGCTGAGCAAGTGCTGCCTGAACATGTGCAAAGACAGACAAGACTGGAGTGGCTTGAACCAATGTCTCACCAATAGACCTGGGTCTCTACAGTACAGGGAAGTGAGTCACTTCTAGCTCCATTTCCAGAGGCAGCCTCATGTGTCCCTGAAGACTTACCAAGAGCCTACTGTGTTATTAGTTTATATAGGTGCTCACAGCGATCCTGGTGAATGGAATTCTGTCAGCTCCAGCCTGGAAGAGACCCGAAGCGCAGAGTTACATAGTTTGCACAGCGTGGCAGAGCAGGAAGAGGAATCCAGCTCATCTGTCTCTGGCATTCTGTCCTAGACAGGCTGCTAATGCCAACAGCAAGAAAAGGGACAAAAGACTCTTTCTTGGAGTCAGGGTGATGTTTTGAACATACTGGGACTGAGAACATCATCATGGACCTTAAAGGACAAAGGATACCTTTTCATGAGGGCTGGAAGAGACATGATAGGTTGTCCGGAGGTTCTTGTTCCTCTCAGGTTGCATATCAGACCAGGCTCTGGATGGAGCTGGCAAATCTCTGTCTGACTGTTAGTCAGGGTTCTCTAGAGTAGCAGAACTTATAGAATGAACCTCTCTCATATATATTTGTTGTGTGTGAATGTGTGTATGCTGTATGTGTACATATGTGTGTTGTGTGTTTGTATAGGTGTTTGTCTTGACTTATCCAAGTGGGTCCAATGTAACCCCAAGGGCTCTTGTGTGAGGCAGGTTAGTGGTCAGTCAGTGCGACGGGGGGGGGGGGGGGGTTGTGAAGATACAACAGTGGTGGGCAGTTTAAGGGGAGTGCAGGTAGCCTCTGAAAGCTAAAACAGAATTTCTTGAGCCTCAGAAGGAACTTGACTCTGTTGCTGTGGCCTGAATTGTGTCTTCTTCAAACATGTTGAAGTTCTAACTCCACTACCTCAGAATGGGACTTTGCTTTGGGTTTCCTTTGGAGGTAGGGTCGTTGGGGTTGAGATGGGAGACAAATTCTTCAGTGAACAAAATAGGAACATGAACGCCCATCCCTGGTCCTGAGTATGTGAAACTCCCTCACATAGTCCATAAAGCGGCTTTCTGTTGTCTCTGGAGATGGGGGAAGAAGTGACAGCCCAGGTGGAGTGGTTCTGACTGAGCTGCACAAGTCAATTGACTGAGAATGGAGTACTGCGCAGGTGGCCTCCATGAGGAGGAGGGGCCACCTCTTAGAACACCTGTGAGCAGCAGGAGACTCTGTACAGTCCCTTAGGAGATTGCTACTCAGCTTCCTGAAGCTGAGACAAAATGACTGCCACAGAGCGAGGGAGGGGCCGGAAAGATGACTCAGCAGGAGTGAGCACTTGCCACCAAGCCTGGTGACCCAGTTCAGTACCTGGAGCCCAAATGGAGGGAGAGAGCTGACCACTGCAGGATGTCTTCTCACCGCTACACTCAAACCATGGCATGCACATGTACCTACACAAAACACATTTAAAAAAAATAAGTACAAATTTTAAAAGGGAGGATGAAATGGTTCCATAACTGAAGGTTCTTGCCACCAAGCATGATGACCTGAATTTGTTTCTCAGGACCCACATGGTGAAAGGAAAGCACTCATTTCTGAAAGTTGTTCTGACTTCCACATACAAACCATGCACACACACACACAAGTACACACATAACACATACATATATACACATACACAACATACACATACATACAATACACACGTATACCCACAACACATACACACAATACACACACACAACACACACAATACACACATACATACACAACACACACATACATATACATACACACAATACACACATACATACACACAATACACACATACAATACACAACACACACATACATACACAAACACACAACACACACACACACACACACACAGACCCTGTGAAGTTTTGGTCCAGTGATTTCACTCTTATCCTGGGGAAGTAGTCCAATGACAGAGACAACCCTGGTGGGAAGATGCCCATTGGGAGCTGCCTCACGGAGGCAACTTGGAAGCTGCTTCGTGGAGCACTGGGGATAATTAACTAAGCCACCTCAAGTTTACTTGCAGTGGTACTGCAGAGCCATGCGCCTCGATCGTTATGCAGACTGTGTGGAGCCACGGACTTGCTTATTAAATTAAACAGCACAGTTCAGATTGTATACAATGACTAGAGCTTAAAAAAGACAAATGCAAATCAGAGACTAGAAAAGAATGAGCAAAAATGAATTTAGTTTTTGTGTAGGACAGGGACATTTGGGGTGAATTTTCTCTTTTCATTAAAAAATTATTTTATTAGGGCCGGAGAGATGGTTCAGTGGTTAAGAGCATTGCCTGCTCTTCTAAAGGTCCTGAGTTCAATTCCCGGCAACTACATGGTGCCTCACAACCATTTGTAATGAGGTCTGGTGCCCTCTTCTGGCCTGCAGGCATACACACAGAAAGAATATTGTATACATGATAAATAAACAAATAAATATTTTTTTTAAAAAATTATTTTATTATTTGTTATATGTAGGTGTGTTGTGGGATTTTTGTTGTATGCTATAAATATGTGTTGCTCTCATTGGTTGATAAATAAAGCTGCTCTGGCCTATGGCAAGGCAGGATAGAGGCAGGCAGGAAATTCAAGCAGAGATATGGGAGAAGAAGGGTGGAGCCTGAGTGACACCATCTGGCCACTCTAGGAACAAC